AAAAAAAAAATGGGCAGAAGACTTGATAGACATTTCTTTAAAGAAGATACACAAATGGCCAATAAGCACATGAAAAGATGCTCACCATCACTAATTGTTCAGGAAACGCAAATCAAAACCACAATGAGATACCACTTCACACCCATTAGCACGGCTATTATAACACACACACACACACACAGCAACAAGATAGCAAGTGTTAGAAAAGGTGTGGAGAAAGTGGAACCCTCTTGCATTGCTAGTAGGAATGTAAGATGGTGCAGCTGCTTGGAAAACAGTATGGTGATTACCCCAAAAATTAAACATAGAATTACTGTATGATCCAGCAATTCCCCTTCTAGGTATATATCCAAAGAATTGAAAGCAGGGACTCGAAGATATTTGCACACCAATGTTCATGACAGCACTGTTCACAATAGCCAAAAGGTAGAAACAACCCACGTCCTTCAAGGCTGAGCGGATGAACAAAATGTGGTATATACGTATAATGGAGTATTATTCAACCTTTAAAAAAGAGTAAAATTCTTCTGATACATGCTGCAACATGGATGAACGTTGAAAACATTATGCTAAGTGCAATAAGCCAGACACAAAAGACAAATGCTGTATGGTTTCACTTATATGAGGTACCTAGAACAGTCCAGTTCATGGAGACACAGAAAAGAATAGTGGTTCTCAGGGCCTGGGGAGGGAGGGAAGGGGAGTTATTGTTTAATGGGTGCAGAGTGTCTGAGATGATGAAAAAGTCCTGTAAATGGATAGTGGTGATGGTTGCACAACACTGTGAATGCACATAATGCCACTTAACTGTGTACTTAAAAATGATTAAAATGGTAAACTTCATGTCATGTATATTTTACCACAAAAAACTTAAGCTCCTCCTATATATAATATAGATATATATACATACAGAGATAATAAAAATTTACTTTTAAATAATACATTAGATAATGTAAATAGATAATAAAAATTTTATTTAAGGCAAGTAATCAAGGGAGAGAATACTTCAAAATTGATAATAGGTTGATGTAAAACAGCTTTTGTAAATTGACAAGAAAACACACTAAAGCTCTGAGTAGAAAAATTAGCAAGATTCTAACAGTTCACAGAAAAAAGAAAAGGCTAATAAACATGAAATAATCTTTCTCCTCACTGACACCAAAGATATATGCACACTGAAATACAACTTTTTTTTTTTTGTGACCGGTAAGGGGATTGCAACCCTTGGCTTGGTGTCGCCCACACCAC